ATTTTATTTCATATCTCTTATTTACAAAAGGTCTGGGTCAATGTAATCTGGAAATTTAGCATTTATTACAAAAGATAAATAAACAAATAAAAAANAAAAAATCAATATTCACCTGGTTCTTCTTCCAAACCAGGGAGTCCTTCATCTACATCCCAGAGAGTACCTCTTACTCCCCGATCCTTACATACAATCTCGAATGTAGATTTCAAAGAACTATATTGAATAAATGCCATAATTTTTTTGTTAATGCCCAACATTTGCATATATTTATTATTGTATTTAGTCACTAAGCCATCCCATGATAGCACTACCGGAATGTTGCTTGTCGTGAATGTAGGATACATGACTTTAAGAGAATTTGCCAATAGATCATACTTATGATGTTTCGTGATTTCGGTCGTGGAAATTATATTTTTGTTTGTAATTCCTATTTCAATGATATCAATATTGCGATTGTTGTTATCTTGAACATAAATGTCTGGTTTGTTTTCCGTAATTGTTTGATTGTGGGTATAGATTGGTGTATCAGATTTAATTATTATGGACCCATCTTTGTTGCACATCGATTTTTCGGTTTTGTGGAGACCAATTTTATTATTTTTAGTGAAACCAAATTTCTTCATAATATGCAAATGGCAACACTTTAAAACTCTATCATGGCGACTGGTGTATTCAAACTTAACATATTTACCACAATGTGTGGCTATATGGTCGACTGTTTTCTTGACTTTGTTACATGTTTCACATCTGCGTTGATCATAAAACAAGTTACGATCCTGAAGAGCGCATAATGCACCTTCTTCACGTGCCGAAATATTTCCATGTGATAGCCAAATAGAAGATTGTCTAATATCAATATGGTGGTCGTCATCAGAGAAAAGAATACCGTGAAGTTTTTTTTCTTTAATTTTTTCTAATCTCATCATGTACTGTTCCATCTGGATATCTTTGAAATCAAAATTTAGATCGTTGAATTTATATTTTGCTTGAATATATTCGCGAATGTAACCCAATGGTGCGATATTAGTTCTTTCATTTTCAACAACTACTCTGGTCTCCGGTCTACTCTCGAGATGGTTTAGGAGCTTGAACATCATTAATTCGGCATGCTCTTCGACATTGATTAGTCCCCGTCCCAATTCGTTGCGTTTTAGATATAATCGATCATTATTTGCTGATTTCCATATTATCTTGTATTTATTCAAAATTTGACGTATTTCCTTATCGATGTCTTTAAATTCTTCAGGGGAAAAATCAACGACACCTACATAATAATTGATAGAAGAAATAGCGTATTCATTGATTGCTCTAAACATATTGACACCATTTAGACGAGTTTGGCATAATTCTTCTATTCTTTTCTTAATTTTGTCTTTAAGAATAAATTTATTTTGTTCGACTATTTGGCTTTCAGAATTTTCAACAATTCCAAGATATTTATAAGTATTGGTTTCATTTAGGAAACCGCCAACAACCCGATCCGATGTTACATTTGTATTAGATTTGTCTTGATTTATTTTTAGGCCCATAGTTAATAAAGATTGATTAGTTAATTCGCACATTGATTCCAATGTATTTGTGTCGAATGCGATTAATTTAATGTCGTCAATGAAACATAGATGATTACGTTCCAATAAGGAATCTTCATCACATGGTACTTTTTCAAATGTATTATTTAGAAGACGACTTAGTGGCTCAAGAGCAAATACAAATAATTTCGGTGATAATGAATCACCTTGCATGATACCATTACCGATTTTTACTGTACCAATATCATTGTTCAAGCATCTTAGGCTAACTTGTTGCATTTCCAGCATTCTTTTTATAAATGAGGCCATGAAGTCAGGTAATTCCAACTTTTCAATACATTTCATAAGGTACTTATGGTCGATTGAATCAAATGCTTTGGTTACGTCGATCCAACATGTTGAAAGATTATGGTGTGAAGTATATATGGTTTTGTTGATTAACGATTGTTCTTTTGCACCTTGGCATCTATTACGTGTTCCCATTTGATTAGATGATATGATATCATTTATCTCGCATATTTCATTAAACAACGTTGTGAAGGTTTTACTTGTTAATTTATATATGTTAGATAAACAAGTGATTGGTCGTAGATCCTTCGGTTCACTAGATATTTCTTTTTTTGGTATCAAATAAGTGATTCCTTCGTATAGTGATTCATCAATGTTTTCATTAGGATTTTTGATTGCTTCACATATCGCATTTATTAAAACATTATGCAGTGATGTTAGTTTCTTTATCCAAAAATTATAGATGAAGTCTTTACCTGGAGCTTTCCAGTTTGACAGAAATCTTATGTTGTTCTTGACTATATTAGCTATTTTTTCATTACTTGTGTCGATTTGTAAATTTATCGGTTGAATCGTATTTATCAGGTTTTCATAATTGCCCGTAGTCGAATCATGTCCGCACCATATTTCTTCCCAGTACTTTTTTGTTGAATCAAGATCGATATTTTCACTTATGGTATTTTTCACATTACTTTCTAGGCTACGATAAAATTGCTTACGATTGAATTCAAATTGGTGGTTTTGTTTATTAAATTCAGTTCTGGATTTGTATCTTTTGATTTCTGTTTGTTTGATGGTTATTTGATCATTTAGGCGCACTTTCAAATTGGTTACTTCGACATTATCTTTGGAATGGATATGATATCTTTTGCAAATTCGTATTATTTCTCTGGATGGACGTTGAGATTGATCGTAGTTATTTAGAATGTTTAAATCGTCTTGCCATTTTTTGATTTTTTCATTGAGCCTGAAACATTTTGGATTGTTTACATTCTGGTTTTTCCTTTGTTGAACGGTATTTTCATACGTAATTTGACAAGCATACAACATATTGGATATTTCACTTAAAGAGCCAGTAGGAATGTATTTCATTTTCAAGTCCGAAGAACGAATTATGATGTTTAAATAATAAATTATTTCTTTGTTTATAGATGACTTAGCCACTTTCTTTGTTCGAATTTTCGGTTCTCTATTTTTACAATAGATATCACAATTTTTAATCAACTCTTGTTTGATCAAACTGAATAATTTCTTATTGAATATCTTAGCCGGTATGTTTTCATTCTCTGACGAATCAAGAGTATCAAAATTTCGGTGAATTTCGTTGTTTTGACGTTTTCTACTCTCTTTTTTCCATATGTTTTTCACTTGAATGATATTGATTTCAGTATTGAATCGGTTGTTGACTGTATTTGTGACTTTACGCCACCATCCATTAGGCATACGTTTGTATTTTTGATATATTTTTGAGATTACAAGAAAGATCCATTCGTTTGATTCGTTTTGTTGATTAGCTAATTCCACAATCGTTTGGAATATTGCATCATTTACATGGTTGGTTGCTGGTTGGGAGACTTCAACCGAACGGTCATCTTCTCCAGAAACCATGTTTGCTTGGTTGGTATCATTATTAGAATCATGGTTCGGAGTATAATTTTGATTTTGATTGTTATCATCCATTTTTCCATGAAGAAAAATCACAAAAAAATTTTAAACAACAAATTGCAACCGTCACGGCCACTATTTCGACCCAAACTTGTATTATCAATACAAAATAACCATAAGCAAATATAATCATTGATAGTAAAAATCGTTGATCATAAATAAGTAAATCATAAAGATTCATACGAAAATATTCTTGATATAATTCAGACATTTCAAAATATCTAATCTGATAACGTAATTGTGGACGAATTTTTATCAACCAAATTGTACCAATTTGATCAAATAATGGCCATAATTGATCAATATCCATTGAATTTTGACGTTTATGATCCAATAACTGCAATAAATGTTCCATTGATTTTGATGTTTGTATTTTAAAATTTTGTTGTTGTTGATCATTTCTCCACCGGAGTTGTTTGATTATATTTTTAAATGATTGTTGAATTTGATGATCCATAAATAGCCATAAAAATGTAATTGATAAATTAAGCACAACAATGATCATATAGAAAATTGTTGAAATACCTTGATGAATTGTTAATAATGTATGTATCAAATAAAATGTCCAATCCAAAAAAAATATCAATGCTAAATAGCCAGCTTTTGAATGAAATTTCATTGAAATTTGTCCCAATAATCGTATAGTACAAATACATTCAGCATCGGTAATTGCATTTTGCTCCAATTGTAATCGAGTTCGTTGTAATGATAATCGTATTGCATTTTTAAAATAAACAAACATTAATCGTACTAAGATTGCGTTGAATAACATTATTATCATTGTATATAAATTAATTATTTCCAATAATGATGATGATAATGTTTGAAATCGGATAGACCATTCACCAAAGCACTTATATAAAAATAAAACATCTAAAATTGTGAATATTAATATAGCCAATGATATAATATGATTTCG